TCCACATTAATTATATAGTATGCTGTTGCTGTGTCTATTTGATGACATATGGGTTTGAGTCTGTTGAGTGAATAGGGTGTGACGAACAGGTCCACATTGCCTTCCACAAGTTCGAAAGTTCTATTGAAGCCTATCAGAAATATCCAAATATAATCCTTTTTTAGAAATCAGTATTCTCCCAAAGAACATATCAAGTGATTTCCACCTGCAAGAAAATTGTTAGTACATTTTAAATATATTCAACTTTTAAAATTTAATAAAAATACAATGTATGAATATCTATTTTGATATTGCATTATAAACTGTTTATATATAAAAATGGAATGCTAGAAGTGCATTTAATTTTTATTATCAGAAAATAATTGTTGTAGAGTATTCAACGTCATTAAATAATATTGTACATAAATACTGTATAATATGTTAATAAAATAATACAACTGTATTGAAATAATACTGTACTAACATACAGCCTGTATTGTATGAATTGAATTAAAATTATTTAACAATATGAATTTTGAATAAATTTCCATTGGTAGACCCAGATAAACTATACCTGCATGAATAAGCAAAATAGTGATTGTTTTCAATTAAAAGAAATACTAAAGCTCTATGTAAATAAAAATTTGACTGATGACATTATATTAATATACTATGATTAATTGCATTGATTTTCTATTAAATATTTTAAAGCTCAGTTTAGTCTATATGAAGGAGCTAATTGAGTAGTAACCCCTTAAAATCACTCGAAATAATGTAAACCATAATAAAATAGGCTACCTCAGGCCTAAGCCTACTAATTACTGCACTTGACTTATTATATAATTAAAATTTGCTTGATGTGTACCTGCCTGAGAATTGGTGGTGGTAGCCAAACTTCTGGTTGGTAGGGAAATCCTGAAAAATAATATTAATATAATAATAATAATATATAATTAACTACATTTGTGTTTGTTAGCCTACATTAAATATCTCTAGTTAGTAGGCCTAGCTAGGCTAAACATTGGGGTCTCCGAGGCCTAAACAGGCGCATAATTAATAAATGCCTATTTGTTGTACTGTATGCACGCTTATTATGCTAGGCCTACGATGATCCAAATTATGCTGACGAAACGTCGTTAACCATAAGTTCCTGCGCGTGCAGATCGCGCTAGGCCCCATAGAATGCGCAACACGCCTTTGCACTCGCCTGAAAATGTAGGTTACATTGACCATCATAGAAAAAAATCTAGTCGTTACAAAAATTTTTTAATTTGTCAAGTTGTTCCTTAGTAATGAAGCATTACATGCATCAAATGCATTTTTGCAAAAATGATGGATAACACTATGTACTTTTTCGGCCAAAAAACCCGAAAATTTGACTACAAAAACATGAAAATTATAGGCTTACCTTCGTCGGCCTCCACAGAGACTTCCATGATGAATTATTCTGAACGATATGTTCCAGGCTCCTCCCACATGACCAATTTAGGAGTAGGTCATGAATATTTAATAATATCATCGAATTTACAGTACTAATGATTGATTAAAAACATTGAATATTCAAAGCGAGTTACGTGTTTACAAGTGGGTTTTAAATATAGCGCGCCCTCTATAGTTTTTGCGTGCCTCAATATCGGACTTTTTGTCCACTATGAAGATACCGTGTAGTGTAAATGTAGCTCCATTCTTCACAGAAATATCAAAACATCTTTTCTGAAATGCTACCATATATGAATGTTAACCACCAACTCCACACCCTAATGTTTACAAATTTCTTGCTTTCAGGTTACGTGTCATGGCGGAACTCTGAGCGGGGCTCGTGGTTTATCCAGGCTTTGTGTGAAGTTTTGCTGGCACATGCAAGCACAGAGGATTTGCTTTCCATGATGACAATGGTAAAGTCTGCCCTCTCAGTCTGCCCTACTCTTGTTATGCTGTAGGGCTATTGAGACAATATAAACAAAAATACAACATAACATTCAGGGGTTGGAAGTATGAAGAAGGCATTTCCAGGAAATGAGGTTTCTAAACACATCTAATCTTATTGTGCTGTGCATGGTGGATACCCAGTGGTGGCGTCAGGGTCTGAAATCTGGGGTGGGGGGAAGGTAAAATTTTAAGGGGGGCAGTATGCTGGGTGGCCCGAGCGTGGGCGTGGTCGGTCGTCGTTCAAAATATCTCGAAAATGGTCCAGGGGGAGAAGCCCCCAAAAAATATGGCAATTTAGGAGTTTCAGAGGCTTATTTAATTGATTTTATAAGTGGATTGTCTACTAATATGTAGAAAATCTTTTGGGGGTAAAATTCCCCCAGTGCACCGCCACTGGTGATACCTATCAGCGCCGACTTCCAGGAGACATTTGATAATAGAGTATAGTAAAAACATAAAAGAATACTGTAAATTTGTGGAAGATGGGACACTTTTGTAAGAGTAGGTATACTTCTGTGTAGAGTAGACTTGGCAAGTTGTAAAAAGCAATATTGTGTTGTACCAACTTGATCTCATTATTTTTTACCTGAAATGTCATATTGTGGCCTTTGAAATGCTGCATAATGGTTGTTAATTTAACGATATATTAAATTTAAAATTAATGTTTTTAAAATGTCTTCTATTCCCCAGGTCAACCAAAAAGTTGCCCATGCATACGAGTCTACAAAAGGACGCCACAAGCAGATGCCTGCTCCTGTGACAATGTTAAGGAAGAAGCTCTACTTTTTCCCAGGAAAATAAGTGTGAAAGATTTTTCATTTAAAGAAAGGATTTTTTTTATATGCTATAGACAGTCAGCATTCTACAAATTTCACCTATATATGTATATAAAATATTTATACATATATATAATATTAAAATTTTTATTGTATAATAATTTTATGTAAATATTTTAAAGTGGAAAGCTACTAAGGTTTCCAAGAAAAATTTAAAGACCCTTGTATTGTATGGGAAGGTCCAACAAATAAATTCCAACCGGTATCATATTTTTTTTTTATTGAAAATGATCAAAATGGTGGTAGCCACTGTGGAGATCTCTAGGTCTGCGGTTCAATTCCCATGCTGCTTTCCTTGTGTTTCAGCTGGAGGGCTGAAATGCAAGTTACAATAGCGCACCATCTTTTGGATGAGACAATTAAGCAGACGTTAACCATCTATGGCCCATGTGCACGTTAAAGAACGCAGTACACTCTTCGGAAAAGAGTATAGGATTGTCTCCAGGTGTACTGCCTAATCCTGATGTCATCCTGATGATGACATAATTAATGTTGAAATATTGAATCCCTAAATGATGGCGTGCATTTCGATACTTGGAGTACGTATTATACTATCTTATCTGAGATTAATCAGTGGACCTTTCGGTACTGCCCAATCACCACCAGAAGGACCCCACTGGAAATAAATCTTCTTTTAGACTTTCGTGGGCTATCCTTGATGTTTACACCGAATAAATCTAATCTAATCCAATCCATGATGGTTTTGTCCTTATTAATGGACAATTAAAGTAGATTAATTTGATGTCACCTTACAACAACCCATGTTCAATTAAAACTGTTCTTTCCTGCGGTCATGCCCATAATTATAATCAAGTTGTGATTACTATTTGAAAAATTATACGAAAAAAATAGGAAATACGAATGAACTTTATTATCTTTTATTATTAATAACAAAAGAAAAGTATCTTCAGTTAGCAAATGCAGACAAAAAACAAAACAAAAAACTAAAAAAATCTATAAAAAAATATATATATATATAAAATCTAATACTGTAATTGTATGTTCCACATGATGATAGTAGTATGTTCATGTAATTGTCACCCATCATTTACCCTATTATGTATGTACTGTGCAATTTAGTAACTGATGGAGATTGCTAATTGGTTAATAGAAGTCATTTGACAAGTTCTTTTAATATGACTGACTGGAATATGAATTCTATTGGTGCTGTAATTTACAGGATTATTTGTTACACACACTTGTTGCCATGGTACTTCTTGCATGTGTTATTGGTCATTACCAAAAGTGGGCAGCATGCTATAATTGACTGTAGAGGGCGCTAATCCAAACTGTATATACAATACTGTATTCATGTCAGCTTATTTAAAATATTTGAAAAAGTGAGCAAAAAGTGGGGCATAATATTTCTGGAATTATTAATTAATATTTATATCATATTAAACAATCTGTCTTTGGTAAGTTGTTTAATACAATATAAATATTAATTGGTAAGGCACAAGTGGTATTCAATATACTATCAAAAGTGTGGAAGGCAAGATACATCAGCACAGTAACATAGATAAAGATATTCAACTCAAATGTGAAACATGGTGACACTACTGGTCAAATAATAAGGAAAATTAAAGTATTCATTAATAAATGTCTCAGAAGGATTCTCAGAATATGGCGGCCTGAAAAAATAAGAAATGAAGACCTTTGGGAAAGGACGGGACAGGAACCAGTGAAAACTGAGATTGGCAGAAGGAAATGGAAATGGATTGGTCATGCGCCGAGGAAACCAAGAGATAACATAATGAGACAAGCCCTTGCATGGAATCCACAAGGAAAAAGAAATAGAGGATGGCCAAAAAAACAAAAACACCTGGAGGAGAGAACTGGAAAAGGAGGTGAGATTTGCTGGTTACAACTGGACAGAGGTGCAACGAAATGCTCAGAACCGTGTATTATGATGGAGACATGTGGTTGATGGCCTATGCACTGCCAAGTGTAACAAGGCTTAAGTAATTAAACAACTTATGGTGATTTTTGTTTACTACTTTAATTTAAAAAAACGTTTTGTAAGGATCGATAATAAATGCATGTTTAGTAAAACAGTATATGAAAAAGTAACGGCAAAATTGGCATCATATGTTACTTCCATATTTTTTATAAAGTGAATTTATAATAAATCCAATTAAAGCAAATTTAGAATATATAATATATAACAGTGAACTAATTTAAAACATTATGGTCAATTTCAATATTTTAGTCTTTATTGTATTTTATCTTTTTGTGATTTTTTTTTTCTTGTATTGTCTTTATTCTTTGTAATTTAAATGTTTGGGACTTCTGGCTCGCCGAGTCATAGAAGCATTGGCTTCTTTAGAAGTCCCAGTACATTTTTTGAGGCGTAATGAATATATTATATATTTATAATACTTTAGATGTCAACCAGTAGCTAGTGTATACAGTAGATATTAACTAGGTTTAATTCCTTTGGCAGATTTTGTCATAGTATTACAATAGTTAAGTGATTTTTTTTTTTTCAAAAGAGAGATATGGGTGAACATTTCTAGAAAATGTAGAGCCACATTAACCTGATCTTCAGAAAAATGGTATACTGCTATAGGGTGATACGGTAGATTATTTACCGATTGCAAATAGCTTCTATATTGCATTTGTTTTTGCAGACTGGCTATGGTGCAGGATTTTGAGGATCAAAATTTAGTTGTACATACCTATAAATTATGTTTAAATTATCTAAGAGGTTAGTTAAACACTATTCCAACATTTGAGTATTTTTTAAAAGCAAACTAGGAGTGCTTCTGATGCTTGTGTTAAGATGCTTGCTTTCAATCTAAGGGTCCTAAATTTAAATCCTGTCGATTTTGTGGGATTTTTTCTTACGAACATAAAAACTCCTTCATATGTATATTACGTATATCAAAAAAGGATATCATTATACAGCAGAACCCCTCCTTTGGGACACCCCTATTCAGGGGACACTTTTCCGTGAAATGAGAGGAATATACCTTAACACTATGGCCAACCCCTACTAAGGGGACTTGGACACTTTCCAAGAGTGCAAAAGGGTCAAATCAATACAATTTAACCCCTATTAAGGAAACTTGGACACCTTTTGTTTTATCAAAACAACTACAGTAGTATCAAAATAGGAAAAACATCATTCACATTTATATTTTGACAGTTTTTGAGCAGTAAACTTAACATTAAAAACCAGATTTTTTTCCTCTCAATCTTTAGAATGGACACTGGAATATAGTCTTGTCAAGTTTGACGATTAACCATCATGATTTCGTTTTTGTGTATTTTCATATAGGATTGTAATCTATACCGAACAGCCTGCACCCTAATTTCTTAGTCATTACTCTATTCAATCTCATCTTCAATCCAATTTGGTCATTAACATTGCACTCGAATCAGGAAAAGCTTTTTGGGAACATATACAACTTTTGTAGTTTTAATTACATATCGTAACTTACCATCTGTGTTACCATTGTATGAAAATATGTCAAAAGAACCCCTTATAAGGGGGACAATTTCACGTTTTTGGTTAGTGTCCCCAGAATGGGGAAGCTTTGTTTGGTTCCGAAGGTGTCCCCTTAATAAGGGATCTACTGTGTCATATTTGAAAGTTTGATTTTAAATATGAAATATGATGGTTTGCTCAAGAAAATAAAGTTTAATAAGCTCTGCTAATTTATTGTATGCACTTTGTTTTTATTTCCATCACTTATCAAGCAGAAAAAAAAGCTACTGTACATTGAGTGAGCGCTTGTTATAGCTCATACAGTATACAATATACCATGGACGTACGCTGAGAAGGGAGAGGGGGTGCGGACGCCCTTCCCCGTAGGAGTGAGATAAAATACTAAAAATGATGATTAAGTTTTTGTTGGAATAGAAATTTAGTTCTGCTTTCTCAATTTTTGCACCCCCATTTCCGCATTTTCAATTTTCACACACCCCACCCAGCATGAAACCAGGCTACGCCCCTGTATACATATGTATATGTACCAGATGTGGAATATATCCATATATTCATTGTGTGTGTGTGTGTGTGGGGGTTGGTTAGTATTGAGGTGATTGATGAGGAATGAAGTGGTATGAGCTGATTTTTAACTACATGCTCTAATTCCAGTGTGGGACAAAGGTTGCCTGATGACAAAGTTGTAGTTGATTGTAATAAAATCCTACAAGGTTCCAATGTCAAATGGCCATGTTCAAGCCACAATGTGGCCAGCAATAGTCACAACTCCAGAGTCGTAAGCAATATACATATTTTTTCTAGGAGTGGATCCAGAGATGTCCGAAAGTGGGGCAGATTGAGATAACACTATCTGAAATTTTTGTGTTCCAGATGCCCGAAAATAACCTCTGAGGCATTTTGGGCGATCATTTTTTTCTTTTTCTTTCTTTATTTTTTTCCATTTTTTTTTACTTTCCAAAAGTTCTTTATTTTTTTCCATTTTTTTTTTACTTTCCAAAGTGGGGGGGGGGGGGAGAGAGAGGGCCTCCCCTCACTAAATCCATTCCCATTTTCAAGCAAAGTCTTCTTAATAACTTCTGATTTCATTCATTATCAACCCAAAACTCGGAAATACTCAAACTTGTGTCTGGCAAGGGATAGTTTTACTGGTAGTTAAGATGCTGTGTTTTTGTTGCTTTCTTTTAATTTTGTCAATAATTTTGTTTTTTCGTATTCTATATGACCTCGCACGGCCTTGATGAAAAACACCCATGGGCGATTCAAGTGTCTCCGTGTTTAAAGAAAGAAAATATTACTACTGTATTATAACCCATCTTCCGATAAGTTATGTTTGCATGTTTTTACTACTGTCTTGTAAATTTCTCCTTTAAGTAAGCTGGCCATAATTATCAACACAAAAATACAATTAGGTAGAGAAAGCTCATTAAACCAGATTTTCCGGACATGACTTCTAATTTTGGACCCTCCACGCCACAAAAAAATCACATTGAAGATGTGTATAAGAGACAGAATTTGTGTGATGTGCCCATATACTGGCAGCGACGCCAAAGAGGTCCAAGCCCACTCTCAAAGGCTTCTTCAGGGCCATACTACCCTGGGGAATGGGTCCAGGACAGGGCCCTCTGCTGGATCCGCGCCTGCAGATAGAGCACTGGGTTAAGGAGCAAAGACCCACCTGCTTTGGCATTTTTAATGAAGTATTAAGGATATATTTAGATGTATTTTTAAAACCTTTTTTCTTTTAAAGGCCCAGCTCCACACATTTGTGGCAAAAATAAATTTATATTATTCTCCTGAAGACGATGAAGCCACTCATTCGAAATGTCGAGACATTCTCAACCAACAACAGTTATCTTTAGTGTACCGCAAGCATTAATATACAAAAATAATTGGTGATCTCGAGGCACTTCATGGAACCACTGGCTTTAACCAGTGAGAGGCACAGCTGTTGCGCTACCGTAAATGGACATACTACACCCAAATATGGGCATACCACAAAATTTGGTAGTGTGCATAGAGCTTTGTAAGGGAATGCAAAACTTGACGGCATTTTCTACTGTGGGAACATTTATTGACAAATTAATCACATCATACATAAGTCCACAAGATGTATCGATAGGTGCGCATGTCTTAAGAATGGCCCTGCAGCACCACACGTCACAGAGGCTACTAAATATTATCCGTGTCCGATACACAAAAACACCTTACACATTAAGATAGCTAGCTTTACCAACTTACAAAATCAGCGTGAGAAAAAGACTAAAAGAAGGGGCGTGGCTTATAGAAACTCCACCCCCAAAGATGGGATGTGGCTCATTGAAGCTCCACCCAATAGGGGATCAATGAAGCTCCTCTCCAGAGTGGGAATGTGACTTAAAAGCTTTGCCCCAGTGGGATGTGGCTCATAGAGTCACCACCCCCAAAAAAGGCGTGGCTTATTGAAGCTCCGCCCCATTTTGTCACCAAGTAAATACTGTAGATAATACATGACAACATGGTTATTCATGACCTAATTTCCTACAATTCAAAAGTTATACACCAAGAGAACATGTGAAGCAGAATGGAACCTTTAAAAGTATCAACTATCAAGTGTTGTGACTAATCTACTACTTTCATCTATAAAATGGAATACTGTATCTTTTACTTGTGATAATGGAATTACGCTACAAAGCCAGTCATGATAATTTCCTTTCATGAATATTAATGAACTGTGCATTTTGATAACAATATGCACCAATTGCGGTACAAAGCCAATCATCATAATTTCTTCTCATGAATATTAATGAACTTTGCATTCTGATAATATGCACCAATTACAATACAAAGTCAATCATGATAATTTCTTCTCATGAATATTATTGAACTGCGCATTTCAGATAACAATATGCACATACTCTGGAGCCAAGTGATGAAAATTGTCTGGTCTAATTTTCACCTCTGGGATGGCAAACAGTTCAATACAATACATCATTCAAATACTCTGTCATTAATAATCCCCCACCCCTGACATGAAAACAAAGACATCAAACGCACCGTCCCTTACATGCTTGACCGATTCGTGCATCTTATCACAATGCTTACTAAACATTCCTCTATTATAGCCCTCTTTCAAAGGTTACAAAATATTCAAAGGGGTAAAGAACAACAAAAATGACGGCTCATGCCAGTACACAAGCTACCAAATCATGAGTTTTTGAATCGGAATGTCATCATTGTGTCTCTGGTGAAGCAGTTCCCTCTGGAATCGCATCCGGTTTTGGTTTTTTGTTTTTCTTCCTTTTGACGAAACGAGGCAAACATAAAAAACAATCAACATGGTGAACTTGAAACAAAATATGATATCATGATTTCCTTGACATGTCTGTGACATCTCTCAAACATCTATTTATATATATATATATTTATGCGATATTTCTGAATGACGTTTTTGTCGGTGATTAACAAGCGGGAACCAGTTGCACAGGTCTCACAGAGATAATCCAGTAAATATCGCAATCAAATCAACTGTTTTCCCTACAACTACATCAAATCATAACGAACAAGTTTGAGTTTTTAAATCTATGTTATAAAATATTCACATAAGATGCCCTATAATGCCTACTCATTCTTATCGTGAAATGCACCCTTATACAGATAAAAACTGTGTCTTACTTGGTTACTGAACGCAAATCAATCTACTTCTTTCGTCGAAATCGGATATTGTATTTTTGCATTTAAATAAATCCGTCACCCATGGGTTATGTATATTTTAATATATAATTATGATTGAGAATATAAAAGAAATCACATCATGATACAATGATATACAGCGATTGTCAACATTATTTAGGCAATTGTATATCATTCTACTGAGTCTTAGTGGTAAACCTCCGTTATATATTTAATAAATTGCTTTCTAGCTACTTGGTAAACATAAAGAAGTGTAACAAATAGCAACAGGCATCCACTATTACGGGATGTCAAATGTTGTGAATATTACCCACTAAATTTTCAATGATTTGCGTACTTGCTCAAAATGAAAAATATTAGATACCGAGGTCAAAAATTTAAAAATCTATATTGAATAACATTAAAAAAATACCTGGTAAAAATGTGATTATAAACTGTAATGATTATAGAGAGCAGAGATCAATATACAATTAATTTAAAAGTCAACAAGAAACATTAAGCAAAAACAAATAAAAAGTGGTTTAGTTTCCCAACACATGTCCAAATCAGCATTGGGGTCTGTTGTGCAGTGTTTCTTCCAAGACAAAGAAACTCGAGCAACAAACCTCCTCAAAGTGTGGATGAGGTTTGCGGGAATAATTACTTCAACGAAAATGTTGCTGCATTGTCCACCGATTGTTGCAAGAGTTTCTATCATCATTGCTCTCAATATATTTTATAATATATACAATTTCCAATCAAAACAGAAATTAAAGAGGTCCAACTAAGATAATGTCAAACATGATTCATAATGTGCTCAATTGGAAAAATGAAACAAGTCAATTTTATGATTCTTTAGCACCTTCTAAAACACAAAGAGTCCAAGAGAGAGAGAACAAAATAAACCCAGTAAAAATCCATGCAATGGTCTGATAGAATGGCACCATGTATCTTGTCGCTGGTTCAAATCTGTATACTGCTCCCTTAAGGATTTACTAATGGGTTCTTGTCAACTATTGTTACAAGATAAATTAACTTGCTTTGATAAATAAGTTCTATATCTAATCAAACAGGGATGAAAATTCATTAGTACCCATATAATATCTCCGCACAAATGCTTTTGAAATGTACAGGATGTACAAATTTTTTAGGGCAGTCAAATTGGTAACTGCTCTTATATTTTTTTCAAACATATTAACATTTTAAAAAAATCACATCGATTCTCTAACTACTAAGACAAACAGAATAAACATTTCCAGAGATATAATTAAGGTGCAGAGTTCCTTTTCTTCCCCCAACATGGACGTAGCCCACTTCCCCGATTGACAAATATATTACACTTCTGCCAATCGCGAAAAACTTGAAATGTGCGACTATAAGATTGCATGTCCACGATAACTTACACGCACACAGGATTTGTCTAGCTAGCCTAAACACGAGTAAAGTACAGTACAAGGGATAACATACCATGCTTTGGTGGGTAAACAGTGAACAGAATCACTACAAAAATCTCTTAAAGTCCGGGCATAGAGAATTTGGCCCAAATATTATTACCCAGTGTGTATTAAATATTTAAAATACAAATAAGTAAAAGGTAATAAAAAAAAAAAGGTCTTGAGGGACAAAAGAAAATATAAACATGTTAAAGTTTTCATTTTCATTTACATCAAACTAGGGTGATAAGCGGTGTTCCATGACGCATTAAAACCCGATAAAAAGAGACTATTAAGTTATACTAACGTCTAGAACGTAAATCTCACAGAGAAAGATCACACTACGATTTGTTTTCAAGCAATATAATTAACAGCTTGTAATCTCGTTCTGATCAGCAACAGTCGTCGATGCAAGAAGGCTAACAGTGAAACTACACGCACAATGCCCGACAGTGATCAGAGGACTCGGGATAAGTTTGTGCGTGCACGCCGATGCGCCAAACACAATAAAAATGGGTGGTCATGGCCACATACTACACGATGGGCTACCACACTTGACCCATATTGTCCCATGCTGTGCCCCAAACACTGCTCCTGTCTGATATGTAGAGGGCGCTGTACAAGAGTTCAAGAACAGTTGTGTTGGGAGAAGTCAATTCCTTAATCTGAAACATGCCTGTGAAATTTGCAATATTGTGCCAGAATGAAACGCTTCATTAGAAACGCGAACACAACAAGAGAGTCCGGCTATTGAACCGGCTGCACTCCCACGACAGATTCCATTGCCTAAAACATACTCAAAACGACTGACAATTTTTTCCTAGGTCTTTTTCTTCGTTATTTTTTTCAAAGATTTTTTTAATGTTTGAATTTGAGCTTTTGTACACCGTGTCACTACTAGACAAAGACAACTATGGCCTGACTTACTCACGTCTCCTCCTATTCAGCCCATTTTAGCACAATTCACTACATTTTGAGGGCAGGACAGAACCCATCGTATTAAATGAGTTAGGCTAAATATAATACAATTGCTAGTGAGAAGGGAGGGGGCAAGTCCAATTAATTCCATATCTTTAAGAAACTATCCCATGAGCCTGTGGCTACGGCCATTCCGTCTTCTGTCACTCCCAAGCAGCTAACCCGATTGTCATGACCTGCAAGGACTCCTGAAAAACGAAAAATATCAATTGTCAGTAGAGAATTATGAGATGATGGAATAAACTAAATGGCATTCGATAAACCAAATCTCACGAGGCTTCAGTTGTAGAAATACTGTTTCAATTTATTAATTTCCCAATAAGAAGTTTAAACTATTCAAAAATTAATGACTTTCAGAGCGAGTCTTCCATTGATTCAGCCCATAGTTATACAACTTAAAAACATACAAAAAATTAGAAAATATCAAACTTCCCACATACATATTATTTTTAACTTGTAAATGGTAAAAACTATGGTTTAACATGTTTTATGAAACTTATTCCAATGTACACAGAATGTGCAACAATAATTTAGACATGCAAATTTTGATAAAATTTGATACAGTATTTTTAATCATATAGTATGTATGTCTTTTCTCTCCTCTCAGGTCTCACTTTGCTTTTGGATGGGTTATCAAGACACCATGCTGTATTAGTATTACTAATGAGAAAAACTGTTGACTTACCAGCGCGTTCACCTTTCATTGAGTCCCACACATTGCAGTTAAAATCATCATAACCGGCCAATAGCAAACGACCACTCTTTGAGAAGGCCACGGACGTGATACCGCAGATGATGTTGTCATGAGAATAGAGTGCCAATTCTTGATCCGCGCGAATATCAAAAAGCCTACAAGTAGCATCGTCAGAACCAGTGCCGAATGCTTTGCCGTTTGGGAAGAACTGCAATATAGGATAGCAAAATATGGATTTGATTAAATCATGAAAGTAATTAGGATTAATCTCACTCAGATGTTTCATCTCCCATTACTCTCTCCCACAGCCTATAAGGAGCATTATCACAATGATGCTAAATTATTTACATGTGGCTATTCTAATAAGTCAGAGAAATAACATTTGGGGCTCCCTCAATAAAATACATACAAGGTACCTCAAATCAAGCTATCGGTAGCTTATCTTCTTCTTTATCCCATGTTAGTCATAACACAATTCACATTATTTTGTCTCAAATAAACAAACTACAGTAAACTTACGCAAACGGCATTGATATCCGACTCGTGGCCTGTGAACGTTTGTTTACACATGCCATCTCGAATGTCCCACAGTTTTGCAGAAGCGTCACAAGCTCCTGAAACAAATGTTCTACAATCGGGTGCGAGGGAGAGGCTCATTACGTCACCAGTGTGGCCAGTGAAGGATGTGGTTTGCTGGCCTGTTTCAATATCCCAAAGGCCACTGTGAGAAGAGAAAAAAGCCATTTCGGTTACAAAGTATTTTCATTCGGAAAGTTAAAATTTCATTACATTTTTTTATATAACATTACAAAAATTTTGGACTTTATTTTACAAGTTTATCATGGCCAGGATTACACCAGATTCAATTTAAGCATTAAGACCAACAAGGATACTGATGAACAGGATGTTGATGAAGTAAATGACAAGAACAAGGATGCAGAGGGGATGAAGGTGATGAGGTTGATGAACAGAAGGTCAAAATAAATGGCAAGAACAAGGATGCAGAGGGGATGAAGATGATGAAGTTGATGAACAGAATGTCAAAGTAAATGACAAGAACAAGGATGTAGATGAGAATAAAGATGATGAGGTTGATGAACATAATGTTCTTGACTAAGTAAATGATAAGAGCAGGGATACAGAGGAAGATGAAGAGGTTAATGAACAGGATGTCGATGAAGTATGACAAGAACAAGAATGCAGATAAGGATGTGCATAAAGATCAGGCTAATGAACAGGATGTTGGAAAAAAAAAACAATAAAAAAAACACATTAAAAAAAAACAGGTGAAAAAAAGAAGGATGTAAGAGAAAAGGATGCTGAAAGATGAAAGAGGACAATGGGTCATCAGCATTATGTCATACTGGAAAATTGGATGGGAACAGGAGAGGAAGAACAGCAAGATGTGGATGAACATTATTATTTTGTTTTTCAATAGCACTGCCAAGTTTATCTATGTCAGACAATGGATCACTGGCTTATCCATGTGCAATAATCATGGCACTGATTAAAATTTATGCTAAGGGGATAATGCTGAAACATAAAATTAGAAAGGTTATGGTGTTAAGCATGTATATGATACACATTTTATTACATGCCTACTCATATTTTGTAATTTAATTAAAACATTTTTCAAAATCAATCTAGATTTTGCAAACAAATTGTTATGAGTTTAAAGCATAATGATATTAATAATAGGTCAAAGTCTATGTGAAGCTAAAACAAATTAATGGCAAATAAGACGGGCGTCAAGATTGAAAACAGGAAAATAGCATGATGGCTATAAGAAAGGCATGACAGCATTGGGACAGGTTTAGGAGACTATCATACCATTGGACAAAACAAGACCATGAGAAAGTTGTTAGAATTGCATTATATTTTCTTTCAAATGTAATGTACTATATTTCTCTTTTGAAGGGGATTAAAATTTATTATTTCACATCTGCATCCCTAGTGCCATTATCTCGTTAGCGAAAACTGCATCATCATCTGCATCTTAATTTTTCGTCCTCCAAACCCCTCATTATCACATCTAACAAACATATTTTATCTTGAGGGAAAGGCATCTTCCCCTAAAAATGGTTAGTGTTTAGGCGTACTATAATCAAAACATCTTCTCAGAGCCAAATATCATCAATTGAGATTTGTAGGATACATCACATGGTGTACTGAAAGCATTAATTATTATTGTCAGTTTGCCATGCAAACCTTCAAAACTTAATATTGAGACCAGACTTGCATAGGATGTAACAGAGGTAGTGAAGAGGTACAGGTACTCACCAGTATGACCAGGGAGTTCTCTGCTAACTCTGACATTGCCTTCCCTGGTTTTCAGGCTATAAATTGAACAGATGTTATCGAGGCCACCACAAGCTACAAAGTTGCCGGAAGGTGCATAGGCACATGTCATTACCCAACTAGAACGAAGTGGAATTGCATGCACCTATGGAGTTAAAAAAAAAAAAAAAGAAGACATTTTAAAGACACATTTATTAGGAAGTATCCGTTATGAAATGCCATTCAAAAGATATAAAGTAATGAGATTTAAACTTGAATTTGACATTTTGGAGTGTTTTTCAAAAAATCAGAAACATGTTACTGTGCATATCTTCTGAAAGGTAATAGTTCCACAGAAATCTGAAATTTCGGAAGGTCTCATCTTCTGAAAGGTAATAGTTTCAGAAATCAAATTTTGGAAGGTCTACCCAAGTAGATATTTGAAATTTAGTGTTTTAAATAAATAATTCATCTTATTCAATGGTGCAATATTAATCTACGATTGATTTAATATTCTATTGGTAAATAAAAAACCTTGATCATAAAATTTTACCTATTGACATAAATTAATTTGACAGAGACAAGCATATCTCTATTAGAAGCAGCATCATATTTCATCAACACAATTGCACATGTTTAAACACAAGTATAATGGCATTATATTACACATGTTTAAAATGGTATAGTCCAAATTCATTTTCATTTGGTTACATGCATAAGCCAATACTCCCAACCAGACCTTTACAATTGTTGTCCCCATTATTTTAAAAGAATTATAAATAATGGTTGAAGGCATTATAAAGGGAGGACCTAGTATAATTGGTTATATAATTTCAACAATAGTGAAAAAAGGCTCATAAGCATGAAATTGTATTTATATTAATTTATCAAACTCATGAATATTCAAAATTAATATAGACACTGAGTAATGAGAAAGATATTTCTTACCTTGTTGGTTGTATAGGAATCCCAAACAATAAGTTTACCATCTTGGGATGCACTTACTAGGTTTCTACAATCACTGAATGAAACAAAAAACAAAACCATTATTATGTTGAAAATAGGTAAAAAAAAAAAAAAACACCATCAAATATAAATTTTTTATATTCAAAGCTATGATATTCCATGACTTTTATCTGAATTCCATTAATTTTACAATAATTACATTGAAGTAATGCAAAGAATTCTCTCCATTAACTTAATACCATAGAATTCTTAGGTTGACATTGACAGTCAACCAAGGGGAAATTCAGACAAGAGAAATGTGAACAGGAGATACTTTTTAAAAAGGCAATATTACCAAAGTTGTATCAACAGTCACTAGTACCATAACACTAAGCATTGCTTCCCATTTCAACAGGGAACCAAAATTTAGCGATCCATTTGAGGTGGTTTAAATGCGTTACAAATCTGTCATGTTTAATTCTGTTCCATGAGCGCGAGAGGAGAATGACCTAAAGGCACTACGTCCCCACCCACACATTTGGCGTTTTAGGCTCTTGACCGAGAGGGCTTGAGAGCAATTTTGGCTGTCATGTCCTTTAGATCAAAGGATGCAATGCTTTCGACCAAGTATCCTGCTTGTCCAGTATATTTGTTAGAACAGCACATTAGCACGACGACCTCTAATAGCATTGACATAGCGTTAATTATTAAAATGGTATCAGATATGTAAATTATTATTCAATATTTAGGAAAAACATAACAATAAAAATATGGACTTAATAATCTTACATATTAGCATTGCCATGGTAATTGTTGAGGATTAGTTGTGTTCATTTTAATTTTTTCATGGAGTCAGTTTTAATATCTACAAGTAATCAATATACCTTCCTCTGTCTTTATTAGTGATACAAAAATGTACAGGTGTTTTTTTTTTTCCCTGGTAAACAGAAACTAACGAAAGGTAACAAGTATTAAAATAAAATATGAAGGTTTTAAATATTACCACCTGATCACATAAAAATGTTTTCTGTTAAATGATTTAGTTGTATAGCAAGCTTTTTATAATTACTAAAAAAAAAGAGTAAAATGTTAGCGATTACACCTACTGCATTGTCCGAAGGCCACTTTAATTTCCATAAACAATTAAATAAACACTACATATGAAAGTAGATATTGAATATCACAATTACTAGATCAAATCGCAACTACTCATACTTTATAGCGTACAGCTCAGAATGATGATGTTTTCTTCAATTATAGAAACATGGATACAGCCTGCAAATTAATAATAGATCCTATAGGGCATCGCTTAAAAACCACTTGTAATTTGCCAAGAAAAGAATGGCAACAAGGGACGGTGTGCATATTAAAGCAGTGCACTAAAAGCTCCACTATTTACATTTCACTGCAACTAGGAACAAAGATCAAATTAATAGAAAATATGGTTCACAAAATAAGGCCATGACCATTACGCTCATTAGCATGCCTGGTTCTAAGCCACACATTGTGAACCGAGGATTTAGAGGTAAGGCATTAGGCTTAGCAACATAACTGGCTTAATTACCTAATCCATTAGATGGAACATTGATCTGCTGTTTATGTGTTTACTGGATTAATAATTAAGACTAATGTTATTAATGTTATGTTAATGGGCATTTCGAATAGCATTTTTCCTTTTGGTTACAGTACAAAGTTCTTAAGATATGATAATAATTAGAGTACATGGTAGGAAATGTTTAGGCCAAATAAACTTAACTGTTAGTTTCACATGTGGGATTTGAAATTATTTTTTGGTGAGGGTATTTACTATTTGCTTTTTACTATCCTATATACTAATGGTTAACAGGCTGGTTAAATAGTAAAAAGATTTTTTTTTTAAATAAAAGAAGGGAAATGAATCTTAGTAGTATATTTCTGCCATTTATGTTCCCACCTCTTTTGGCTTGGCATCATTCTTTCAGATAGTCATTATTTTTTATTGTCCATGGAAAAATGAACGTTTCTTTTTTTTCAAAATAGCAAATAGAAAATTTTTTCATGAGGCTTCAACATTTGATGAGGGCATTGATGTGAAACTAGCAATTAATTTTATTTGACCTTATATGTGCTTATGTATTGACAAATTCACTTCCTTGGATGTTCGTATGTGCAAGACTCGCTACTGCTTTCATGCTGATTTTTGCTGGCAAATACGATGCTGGTTTCTGTTTTTTTAGCTGGTATTCTTTTCATTGTTCTCAGAATATTTTATAGATTAATCAATTTGATTCTAATTACATTTTAATAACTTTTATGTTTCTTTTTTCTGTCAAGGGAATTTAGATTTCAAATAATTGGATATAAACGGTACAAAAAAATTGTTTTTACCGATTATTAAGGAAAGAACGTTGTAACTGAAAAAAATTTGAAAGATACCTGGAATCAGATGCCCAGTGCATAGCATATATTTTGGCCAAATGACCTCTAAGTGTTCTCCTGGTTCTCATTTGTATGCGTCCTACAACTTCCAGGCTCTGTGTTACTGTAAATAGGGATGTATCGTTGACAGCTTTTCTGGCATCCTGAAATAAACAAAGAGGGTAATACAGTGTTTATCAACTTTCGGTTTTCACATTTACTGTAGACGGAATTTATTTGTACTGAGGATACTAACTGGTAGTTAGTTTCAAACTTCCAGTCATATTCTTTAATTCAATTTATATAATTTCTACAAATCATGAACAACTCATGTACCAAACTACTAGATTCTTAAAAAGTTTCAGTTTCATTGCTCAGTCACTCACTAAGAAACACAAAATATACTGGTGTGTCTCATTCTATGTTTCAAACACTTCCTGGTTTACTGTACAATGTTTTAAGATCAAAATGAAAGCGATATTTGCATGTCAGAGCACATTAAAAGTGGTTGGCACATCGGTTGTGGCTTTAACTTCCAACCTTGAGGTTGGGGGCTCGAAACTCTCGCTATACAAGTCGCTTTTGTCCTTGGGCAAGGCACTTTATCTACGGTTGTCTCTCCACCCAGGAGTATAAGTGGGTAGCTGGAAGGGTTCAAACACAACCATGCGCTGATTACAGCTGCATCATCCTGGAACTCTCCCAAGGGTGTATGTTCCATGTGCTTGATCCAGTGACCGGGGATAATGATGCTTAGCGCTTAGGTCTCTACAATATGTGCTATATAAGTCAACAATTATATTATTATTATTACAAATCTTTTTTATAAAATAATGCAAACAAAAATAACCTGTACTGCTCAAAATACTAACATGGATCTATGGTTATAACACTTGAGGCCAATAAGGAAGTAAATACGACCTTGACAGGAAATGATGTCACAAAAAAAATTTATGATGAAATTGAAGATGATGATAGTGAATATATTGAACTATAATAAGATGAAAAGATATGAATTCAGTTACAGGATACAGTATTTTTATATTCACTATTAATTGCAACGCACACCATTCAATACACATAAGAGCATATAGAAACATAACATTTCATATAGGAATGCCTTCCATGTTAAGTATAGTTGTCAAAAAGTATCTTGATAGCCAAGCTATAGCTCCACTCCAAGTATTCTGAGAGGGAATTCTAAACCAAAATCCTAAAACTTTTTGATTTCTCAACTGAACTATCTATAACCAGCCAAAAACCAAATTTGAATAACTGTAATTGATTTTTTCATTGATGCCTGTTCCTTTGGAAAACATTTTTAAAATTCCTTCCTCAATCAACTTCAAATGAAACGAAAATTCAATAAAACACTATTTGAATGTTTTTGTACGATTCAACAATAGCATGCCAATGTGTATGCACTTCACAGCAGTATTAGCAGAATTCTCTAGATTTAAAACACGCCTTTCTCAATTAAGTATACAGTATGCAAGTAGAATCTAATATTCATGCACAATACTGAAATAGACAAGTGGTTCAGATGGTTTCAGCATTAAATAGTTAATTATTTTTTTATAATCCATAAATTATAGAATCAATCACCAATTTCTATATATGAAGTTAAGCTAAATCTGTTATCAATTCATGTGAAATTTGCTTGCAATTTTGTGAAAATGGTATTTAATAGTTGGCATGCATTGTAATGATGTAGGTGAGATTGTTGAGGTTGTCCCTACATCCATGATGTATGAATTTCAAATTAGAGTAGAAGAGTTCTGCCTGCAATGATTACAATGCTGCTACTTACTCAATACCTACAGTTACCGCATTCAGATGCAAACCCTTTAGCCTAGGCAAGGCAAACTTTTAAATAAAAACAACCAGATATATGCATGCTACAGATTGAATTTATAGAACAAATGCCAACACACATTCTGATGTAAACATGTTATAAATCACGGAGAATAAAACAAAGTGAACTACACGCCCACCAAACATTTTACACTAATGTAAATCAAATATAGTAAGAGACAATAAAGCACTGTATAATTTATTGCCGAATACAAACAAATGCTATATTAACTATTTTTTGGCTTTTTGCCGATATATATTCACTTGCTAATATTTCTATCAAGAAATTACATAAATCAGTCAGAATTTTATTTTAAAATATAAGATAATTTCTAATTTACCTGGTTGAAACATTACATGTGTCCAGGATACAGAGGATAGTAAAACAGGAAGGGCTACCTGGTAATTTCCTTGTCTAAAATGTGACTTGTTGATTAATAGCTTGTAATTAAAAACCCTATTTGTATTACATTAAATATAATCTATATATCTATATATATATAAATATATTATATATATATATATATAAATAATAATAACATATATAAAAAAAAAGTTTTAACACTTTAACCCATGTTTATTATCATTTAGAAAAATCTGGTTATAAAACAAATATTCATACGTCCTTACATGCAGTAGCATATGGCTCTTCCAAGGCACACTGAAACTCATGACCTATGCTTGGATTTCTGAAGGCTTTTTACATAGTTTGGTCCATTTATACTTAGTTTCACAATCCTTGCACTCTTTATCAAATAAAAATAAAATTTTATGATTGGGCTGTTGTCACACTAGCCTGTGCGACAAATTTTAGGGGAAAATTCTAGTAAGAGAAAAATATTGGGTTAAATGAATATAAAAGTATTTATGAGTCCAATCTTTACATTATTATTATATCACCACAATGCATTATACAGTATCAATACACGCATCTTGAGTTAGACACTAAAGGCCCCCCTCAATTAATTTCTACCTGAAGCACTTGTCTCGCTTTAACGTATGAAAAAACAGAGGCAGTGGATAAAAGAATAAGGGAGGCGACGGGAAACACAATTATTCTGTATTTGGCCTTTATTATTAGGAATGTCTTCTTGTCTATGCAATTAATCTTCTGCTGATTGTGTTTAAGGCACAGGCAAAATGAATAACTACAACTCACTCTGTTAGTGAGAACATAATCAATACGGCCAATTCTCAATGACGTGCACACAGTAGGTAGTTACCAAGCACATAACCGTGGCAACCAAAACAAATTCGTAGCGACTGCATAGCGATTAAATGAAATTTTGCCTTTCAACTTCTGATACATCTTTTGCATGATTCTGCAAGTGGACTTTCATTAATTACTCGCTGAACAATGAAACAAAAAAAAACTCAAACGACCAGTGGACCGTTACTGATGCGTTGCTATGGAAAAGCATCACTGGTATCAAATAAGCATTCAGCGATGTAGCTTGCTCGTCACTTGTGTAAATTTGCAAAGCTATGTTCATAATTGTGTACGACAATAAAGAATAGTATTAGTAAGTCAATATCATTTGAATACACACCTTATTACTATAAAACACGTATATGCAACTCAGCAGATCTCGTTTGTATCCTTCACACATCATTGAGCTCCGAAAGTTATTTCTAGGCCAAGTAAACACTCTAAAGCTAAAAACCATGTTGAGTACAGAACTATATAACCAGGCCTGACATAATAACGCATGCTAAAATTATAGGAGGCCCACACACTCAATAGCATACAATGCTATAACAAACCACCACATATTATTTATGGAATAGGCACAACAGAGCACTTTTGCAGGACCTTCCCAACGAGCCAATCAGTGGTTTGCAGCACCGTACAACAATCAGAAGCTTACAGACGCCACTGAAACATAGAGTGAAACACTTTACAGCCTGTCAGTTGAAGTGTCTAATCTAAGCAAGACTGAACAAGAATGGTAGAGTAAATGTGCGATTCAAATATCTGACCATAAGGTTAACACTAAAATGCAATTGGAAACCGCTATACAACATCAAAATATCGTCGTCTTTAAGTAATCTTTTAATTAGATATATTAACATCATAATAAAAGCTAAACCTGCTAACTGAACAGGGTAAACACAAAGTACGCAATAGAAAGTGCTTATTATTTTGTTCAGCAATCATTCATTTTAATGCCTACTGTAGTAAAAATGTTAATATACTTTAACTCCTATGACCGGCTATGATGTAGAGCATCATATACATGATTATTAAGTTGTACATAAATGTGACTAATATTGCATACTTCATGACCAGATACAAAATGTATAGCAGCGTTATAAAGAGGCTTTTATACAAAGACCACCCTCGATTAAAAGGACTTTCTATGTCTAAGTAAAAACTGGAATGTAAAGAAGACAATAGTGTTCATAAATTTATCAAAATTTATATTTCATTTACTTTCCAACTAAGTATTTATACATTATGCATTATGGCTATTTTACTCATAAAATATAGAACTATGGTTTGCACAACAAGTTCGTAGAAAAGGGCATGAGCAAATCCCACAACCAAATGAAAAGCTGACAAAAAAATACACAAGACAAGTGTGATAGGGAATCCACACACAAATATGCAGGAAGTATTGAGGAAAACCTTGGTACTAACTTCCGTACCACTCCTACACAAACATGCCTCAAACTGACAGGAAGATTCCACAAAAAGCTAGAAGAAAATTGTATTTCTGATGAAAGCCACATCTGAATTAGGCACAGCAAAAACTACCAAGTCATTGACTTACAGTACAGGCAGGAAATATCGCTTCGTATCTGCGCGTAACCACTCGTAGCCTGCTCGTAGGTACCGTTTGGAACGTAGCTACGAACCACTACGAAGGTCATTGTTATTTTAATTAGCTTTGCAATGATCGTAGGCTGGATCGTCGAGCTGATAATCAATGCGTAAACAATATTGAAATATAGTTTACCAGCTTTCAACACGTAAGCAATGTTGCAATTTACTAAATAAACAATGTTAGAACTTTATT